AAAAGCTTTGTTATGAATTAAATTAGATGATGCTTGTGACATTGTTACCTACAAGGATATACCATGACATTTGAAATACTTAATTTAATAAAACAAACTTTTGAATGTAGTTTTTAGAACTGTGCGTTGAGCTATGCTGCACACATATCCCTCCAGGCTGCCCTGACATCGGTATGCTATTTGCCCCACTTTAACTAGCAATTACCGGGGGGCACCTAATGGAGTGTCCACAAGACTGGACACAGATCAATGCAAAACACTCACCAGAAAGTATTTTTGTAACAGAATCAGTTCTATCATGGCGAAAATCGGACTTCTCTTTCACTGTTGCTTTTAGCGAAAAACTACAGAGAAAAGCAGCCTGTCCGCTTGTCACGATCGTCTACGAGAGAGGACCAATGCGCAGCGTTGAAGGTGAACATAATATATATTTATTTACTGATCACACGATCAAAACAATAACCAACGATGCGTGACGTCTAAGGTTACAACACGAACAAACCTTAACGGAACAAGAAACCACAACACAAAGTGAAAAGACCGATAGTTAAATATGGCTCCCAATCAGAGACAACCAGCTGACACTCGTTGCCTCTGATTGGGAGTCACTCAGGCCAACATAGATATACAAACATAGAATACACACCCTGGCTCAACATAACATAGTCCCCAGAACCAGGGCGTGACAGTACCCCCCCCAAAGGCGCGGACTCCGACCGCGCCAAACAACCACAACAGGGGAGGGACCGGGTGGGCACTCCGCCTCGGCGGCGGATCCGGCTCCGGACATGACCCAGGCACGGGTTGTGCTGGACTGACGACGCGCACCCCTGGCTTGGTGCGTGGAGGAGGAACGGGCCTTACCAGGCTGACGACGCACACCGTAGGCTTGGTGCGTGGAGCAGGGACAGGCCGGACTGGGCTGGCGACGCGCACCACCGACTTGGTGCGGAGAGCAGGAACGGGCCGGACAGGGCTGACGAAACGCACCACAGACTTGGTGCGGGGAGCAGGAACGGGCCGGACAGGGCTGACGAAACGCACCACAGACTTGGTGCGGGGAGCAGGAACGGGCCGGACAGGGCTGACGAAACGCACCACAGACTTGGTGCGGAGAGCAGGCACGGGCCGTGCCGGACTGACGACGCACACCACTGGCTTGGTGCGGGGAGCTTGGATGGGCCGGACTGGGCTGGCGACGCGCACCACAGACTTGGTGCGGAGAGCAGGAACGGGCCGGGCTGGGCTGTCGACGCACACCGTAGGCTTGGTGCGTGGAGTAGGAACGGGCCGAACCGGGCTGACGATGCGCACCCCTGACTTGGTGCGGGGAGCAGGAACAGACCGTACTGGGGACACACACCACTGGCCCTACACCGGGATCTGGAACGGGCCGGACCGGACTGGCAACACACGCCAGTACCTCTCGCCGTGCCTCTACATCCTCCATCCCCTCTTCGACCAGTGGCCCCCGTAACCTGGCGGCCTCCTCTGGCAACCCACTGGGCCGCTCTATCGCGGCCTCCTGCTGGTCCGACGTCGTGAGCCCCCCCCTAAAAAATTTCTGGGAGTCTCTCTTCCCCGTGGGCCAGGCCTCGATAATTCTCGCCCACCTCTCGCTCCTCTGCTTCCAATCTCCGTCATTCAGCTCCTCATTCGGCTTGACCCAGTCGAAGCTCTGCCTCCACTGTTGCCAAGTCCACCTACTCTGCTCCTCACTAGGCTGCTTGGTCCAGTTCTGGTGGTTTCTTCTGTCACGATCGTCTACGAGAGAGGACCAATGCGCAGCGTTGAAGGTGAACATAATATATATTTATTTACTGATCACACGATCAAAACAATAACCAACGATGCGTGACGTCTAAGGTTACAACACGAACAAACCTTAACGGAACAAGAAACCACAACACAAAGTGAAAAGACCGATAGTTAAATATGGCTCCCAATCAGAGACAACCAGCTGACACTCGTTGCCTCTGATTGGGAGTCACTCAGGCCAACATAGATATACAAACATAGAATACACACCCTGGCTCAACATAACATAGTCCCCAGAACCAGGGCGTGACACCGCTGCCATGTGCATTTGCGTCATTCTGATTGGTCAAGAGATTGAAGAGATGTTTATTTAATTTTGTTTTATCCGGATATCTGAAAAAATATCATGATATTATTCGAATAGTGAAATAATGTCCAAATGCCCATTCCTAGTGTGTGTGTGTGTGTGTGTGTGTGTGTGTGTGTGTGTGTGTGTGTGTGTGTGTGTGTGTGTGTGTGGTATCGTATAGGGGAAGTGGTTGTTTGGAGGACAGCCAGGGGATAGACAGCTGGGCATCTTCCTCTTCTACTAAAACACACACACACACTGTATCTCACACACTCATAACCCAGACACTCCTCTCACCACGTCTCTCCTCTAACAATAACAGCAACCCTTTAAACTGAAGAGCTGTTTTAACTGGCCTCTTTATCACCTATCCATCAGACAATGACAGAGGACTGGCTGGCTGGCTGGCATAGCCTCCCGTCCCATCTCACTCATACATCTCTTAGCTGGCCTGTTTATCATCTAGCTAACCTATCCCTCACACAATGATACAGTGTTGGCTGGCATAGCCTTCTGTCCCATCCTACTCATAGGCCTACATTGTCTGTAATCACTCCCATTTGGTAAGAAATCATTGATCTAGGCTATTCTGTGATTTACATTTACATTTTAGTCATTTAGCAGACGCTCTTATCCAGAGCGACTTACAGGAGCAATTAGGGTTAAGTGCCTTGCTTAAGGGCACATCGACAGATTTTTCACCTAGTCGGCTCGGGGATTAGAACCAGCGACCTTTCGGTTACTGGCACAACGCTCTTAACCACTAAGCTACCTGCCGCCCGATTTGGTTAGATTACGCTGGAGCTGTGTTCTACTGTCACTGTGCAGTTCTGTTTTGGTGAGGAGAGGGAAGAGAGGGGGAAAGGAGAGGAGGGAGGGAGACAGAAGATGACGGGAAGGAGAGGGAAGAGAGGGAACGTAGAGGAGGAGGGAGAAGAAGAGAGGGCGGAGGCAGGATAGAGAAGAGCAGGAAGTGAGAGGGAAGCTGAAGTAGGGGGGAAAGTGGAGAGGAGACGGGAGAAGAGGAGGGAAGCGAGAGGAGGAGGAAGAGAGAGGGAAGGAGAGGAGGGAAAGGAGGAGGAAGAGGGAGATAGATAGAGAGGGGGAAGAGGCGGGAGGAGAGGGATAGGGAAGCGGAGGAAGGAGGAGGAGGGAGAAGGAGAGGAGGGAGGGGGAGGGAGAAGATGAGGGAAGGAGAGGAGGGCGGAGGAAAGGGGGGAAGGAGAGGAGGGGAAAGGGGAGGAGGGAAGGGAAGGAGGGAGGGGGAAAGGGGGAGGAGGAGGGAGAAGAGAGGGAAGAGAGAGGGAAGGAGAGGAGGGGGGGAAGAAGGGAGGGAAGGAGAGGGGAGGAGAGGAGGGGGGGGAAAGAGAGGGGAGGAGAGAGGGGGGAAAGAAAAAGGGGGAAGGAGGAAGGAGGAGAGGAGGGAGAAGAGGGGGAAAGGAGAGGAGGAGGGGAAAAGGGAGGGAAGGAGAGGGGAAAGGAGGGAGAGGAGGGAAAGAGAGGGGAAGGAGAGGGGAGGAGAGGAGGGGGGAGAGGGGAGGAGAGGAGGAGGGAAGAAGAGAGAGGGAAAGGAGAGGGAAGAGAGGGGGAAAGGAGAGGAGGAGGGAGAAGAGAGGGAAGGAGAGGAGGAGGGAGAAGAGAGGGAAGGAGAGGAGGAAAGGAGAGGAGGAGGGAGAAGAGAGGGAAGGAGAGGAGGGAGAAGAGAGGGAAGGACGAGGAGCGGAGGAGGGGGGAGACAGAGGGAGCGGAAGGATAGGAGGAGGGAGGAAGAAGGACGGAAGGCGCCGAGGGATGATGGCAGATGCAGAGGGGAGGGAGAAGAGGGAGGGATGAGGAGGCGGGAGAAGGAGGGAAGGAGAGGGAAGAGAGGGAAGGAGAGGAGGAGGGAGAAGAGAGGGAAAGAGGGGGAAGGAGAGGAGGAGGGAGAAGATGAGGGAAGGAGAGGAGGAGGGAGAAGAGAGGGAGGGAGAGGGAAGGAGAGGAGGAGGGAGAAGAGAGGGAAGGAGAGGAGGAAAGGAGAGGAGGAGGGAGAAGAGAGGGAAGGAGATGAGGGAGGAGGGGGATGAGGGAGGTGTAGGAAGTGGGGTCTGGCCTAACTTCCGGCTGATTGTGCCTTGCCATTGTAAGAGAAGGTGTTTCCTGTAGGGAGGTTAGCTGGTCCTGCAGACCTCCTCTGGACCATTGTCTGGAGGGGAGGGAGAGAGAGAGAGAGAGAGAGAGGAGAGAGAGAGGGAGAGGGAGGGAGAGAGGGTTGTAAAATTGGAAAGGGTATAATTAGGACAATTAGGACAACTCTTGTCTGGCGATGCGTCTGGACTGATCTGGAAGAGAGACTGGTGGTAAAAGGGGATGGGAACGGAGTTGGGGTCGGACAGAGGGAGGAGGAGAAGGGGGATAGGGGGAGAGAGATATTAAGGGATTTGAGTTAGCTGCTGTTGAGACCCTGCTGTCCAGCTGTACCCTGCCTGATGACCTCACAGCAGCATCCTACAGTATATGGTGCACTACAAGCACGCTCAGGATCATAATACCCACTTCTCTAATTGCCTAATAGGCTACCAAATAGGAAACAGTGGAGCACACAGAAAATCATTATACTAACTACAGTGTGATCTACTGTAAAGGAGTGACAGTTACAATGGGTGGTATATAAGATGTATATAAAGACCTCTTAAGAAGACTGAGAAAAGGAAGTGAAGTTGTTGGATTTCAATGAAAGGAGGAAATGCTGCTTTATTCAAATGTTTTCTCTAATGTTTTCTCTGTTTTCTCTAATACTCTCTTTCTTTCTTTCTTTCTTTCTTTCTTTCTTTCTTTCTTTCTTTCTTTCTTTCTTTCTTTCTTTCTTTCTTTCTTTCTTTCTTTCTTTCTTTCTTTCTTTCTTTCTCTAGCTGAGAAGGTGTCATCACTGGGGAAGGACTGGCATAAATTCTGTCTGAAGTGTGGCCGCTGTAACAAAACCCTGAACGCAGGAGGACATGCTGAGGTGAGTGATGAACAATGACATCAACTTCTGTGGGTCTGTAGGTCTGTAGGTTCACACATGTAGGATCAGTCCCTATACAGATGTAGGATCTTAATTTGAGCCAGTTTGTTACAGCAGGAAAATAATCCGGCAGCAACAGGAAATGGGAATTATTATGTGGATTATAATTCATGGACATATTTGAAGGGGTTGATACATATTTTGTAATGGAAAATTAAGTCTGCAATTTCAAAGTGGAAATTACAAACTTCAAGTTTTAAATGTCCTGTATTGCAGGAAAGTTTTCCTGCATCAGGGGGATCAAATTAAGATCCAACATCTGTAGATCCACGTGGTATAGCGTAATGGTAAAATCCAATGCAGGCCTCAGTTTTGTATTGACTATTTGACACACACACACACACATCCAGATGGATCAACAGCTCTCAGAATGACACTGAAACATTACTATCACTGTACACTGTAGATGTGCGGCCTATGTCCTTGCTGAAGGTTAGCTGTTTGTCTAGTCACTTTATGACCTAGCAAGCCAGCCCATAGAAATACAAGTATAATATATTGTAAAACTGTTCTATTTAACTCTGTAAGACAGCCATTCTATTTTATATTTGTGTTTTATAGTGAATATACAATATATCCCCTCCAGTCCTCTCTCATATCTCCTCCACACATGCTGTTACTGTGAAACTGCACTGCTTCCTGGATCAAAACAGGCTTTTTCATGGCCTAGCAGCCAACCATTCTATTTCCACCATGTCTGTGTGTTATAGTGGACATCCCCTGCTGTGTGAAACAGCACTGTCCCTGGGCCTGGATCAGAAAAGAACAGGAAGTAAGGAAGGATGGGAATTCTGCAGCAAAATCCGAAAAGCAATTTCCCCCCAGACCAGACCTCAGACAGTCATCAGTAGATACTAGATGCAGACCTGGCCTGGGTTGTTTCATCTCTATAAATGATTACATCATACATGTTAAATGTCCTCTCTCTGTCCTCGCCACAATTTCCCTCCAGACCCCAGTAGTAGATTAGCCTGGTCCCAGATCGGTTTGTGCTGTATAACCAACTCCAATAAAGCACAAACACATCTGGGACCAGGCTATAACCAACTCCTATACAGCACAAACAGATCTGGAACCAGGCTATAACCAACTCCAATACAGCACAAACACATCTGAGACCAGGCTATAACCAACTCCAATACAGCACAAACACATCTGGGATCAGGCTATAACCAACTCCTATACAGCACAAACACATCTGGGACCAGGCTATAACCAACTCCAATACAGCACAAACACATCTGGGACCAGGGTGTATATATGTACAAATCCATACAGCACAGACCACTGGGAATGTAGCCAGTCATGAGATCCCCTGGGAGGATCCCAGCCCATAACAGCACTAGAATGTACCAGTGTGGATATCCGCTGTAGGAGATCCCAGCCCAGTAAAGCACTCTAGGGAAGGTAAGCCAAGTGGATACAGCCTGTGAGGAGGATTCCCAGGCCAGTAACACACTAGGAAGGTAGCCAGTGTGATATCACGCCTGTGAGGAACCCAGGCCAGGTAATAGCACTATAGGAATGTAGCCAGTGTGATATCCGCTGTGAGGAGATCCCAGGCCCAGTAAAGCACTAGGAATGTAGCCAGTGTGATATCTGCTGTGAGGAGATCCCAGGCCCAGTAAAGCACTAGGAATGTAGCCAGTGTGATATCTGCTGTGAGGAGATCCCAGGCCCAGTAAAGCACTAGGAATGTAGCCAGTGTGATATCCGCTGTGAGGAGATCCCAGGCCCAGTAAAGCACTAGGCTGTGCAGGTGAATCCGCTGTGAGGAATCCCGGTCCCAGCTAACACTAGGAATGTAGCCAGTGTGAATTGGAGTGAGAGATCCCAGGCCCAGTCAAGCACTAGAACTTGAGCAGTGAGATACTGCGGAGGAGTCCAGGCAGGTAAAGCACTAGGAATGTAGCCAGTTGTTCTGCTGATGAGGAGATCCTCCTGGTCCCAGTAAGCACTGGTTGCCAGTGTGTATCTGCTGGTGGGAGTCCCAGGCCCAGTAATAGACTGGAATGTAGGCCAGTGTGATATCGCTGTGGAGGAGATCCCAGGCCCAGTAAGCACTGGATGTGCCAGTGTGATATCCGCTCTTGTAGGTAGATCCCAGGCCGTAAAGCACTCGGATGTAGCAAGTGTATGCTTGAGGAGATCCCGGCCAGTAAAGCACTAGGAATGAGCCAGTGTGATATCCGATCTGTCCGGAGATCCCTGGCCCAGTAAAGTCTGTAATGTGACAGTGTGATTTGACCCTGACTATGAGATCACCCGGCCCAAAGCATGATTAGCAATGGACCGCTGTGAGGGATCTGCAGGCCTCTCTAAGCACTGATGATAGCCATGGGATTCTGTCATTGTAGAGTCTCAGGACACGTACGAAACACTGGATGATGCAGTGTGATATCTGCTGAGGGGTGCCGACCTAGGCCAGATCAAGTCACAGGAAGTGCGTGTATTATCTGGTCGAGTGATGGATCATCTAGCGCAACAGTCTGAATGTAGCCAGGTGATATTGTACTGATGTGATGGAGGATCCCACTCTAGGCCCAGAAGCACATATCTCCTGTGAGGAAATCCCTCTTACATCCTCTCTCCTCGCCTCCTCCTCAACTGTATTGGAGGAGAATATCCAAGGTCCCTCCCCTCGAACCTTCGAGGTGAGAAATGGAGGCGTGGAGGAAAGATGAATTAGGACTGCATGTCTGCTCTCTGGTCTAGATCCTGATGATCCTCCTGCTCCCTGGCTGGTTGGCTGGCTGGCTGGCTGGCTGGCTGACTGGCTGGCTGGCTGGCTGACTGGCTGGCTGGCTGGCTGGCTGGCTGGCTGGCTGGCTGGCTGGCTGACTGGCTGGCTGGCTGACTGGCTGGCTGGCTGACCTAGGCTACTCTGTATTTATATCACCACTGTTCCGTGGCTATTCTGGACAAGGTTCTACTTACTTGGACGTCTCCTCTTCTCTTCTGGACGATGGTCTGGTATCTGTCCCAGGCCCTGGCTGCCTGTCCAGTCTGTTACGTGACTGTTTGATTTGACCACTGACTACTATTACATGACCACCGTCGGCCCAGCATGCATTAGAGAGGGACACGGGGTTCTGACAGAGCCATCTCTAAGCCTGAGACTGCCTGGGATCTCTGTCATCTTACAAGGCTCATACACGTACGCAAACACTGGGATCAGTGGAGTTGCCTCAGGGGGTGCGAACAAGGGATCCAGTTCAGGAAGGTCGAATTTCTGGTCGAAGTGCTGGACATCTGCGTCTCATGTCTGCAATAGAGGTTTTTTTTTGCCAGGAAAGATATTTGTTTAACTCGATGAGGATGTAGATGAGGATGGAGATGAGGATGGAGATGAGATGAGGATGGAGAGGAGGATATAGATGAGATGAGGATGGAGAGGAGGATAGAGATGAGGATGGAGATGAGATGAGGATGTAGATGAGATGAGGATGGAGATGAGGATAGAGATGAGATGAGGATGGAGATGAGATGAGGATGGAGATGAGATGAGGATGGAGATGAGGATAGAGATGAGATGAGGATGGAGATGAGATGAGGATGAGAGGAGGATAGAGATGAGATGAGGATGGAGAGGAGGATAGAGATGAGATGAGGATGGAGTTGAGATGAGGATGGAGAGGAGGATAGAGATGAGATGAGGATGGAGATGAGATGAGGATGGAGATGAGATGAGGATGGAGATGAGATGAGGATGGAGAGGAGGATAGAGATGAGATGAGGATGGAGTTGAGATGAGGATGGAGAGGAGGATGGAGATGAGATGAGGATGGAGTTGAGATGAGGATGGAGATGAGATGAGGATGGAGATGAGGATGGAGAGGAGGATGGAGATGAGATGAGGATGGAGAGGAGGATGGAGATGAGGATGAGGATGGAGATGAGGATGAGATGGAGATGAGGATGAGATGGAAAGGAGGATGGAGAGGAGGATGGAGATGGGGCTGGAGAGGAGGATGGAGATGGGATGGGGATGGAGATGAGGATGAGGATGGAGATGAGGAGGATGGAGATGATGATGTAGTCGAAAAATAGAGAGAACAAATATGAGTGATGATGAAGGCCAGTGATGAAGAAGCGTGTAGCGACTTGCTGATGCCAGCCTGGCGTGTTGATTCAATATGGCATTGTCTGGATGGATGGCTGTATATTTGTATCTCACGGAAGAGAGCCACACCTTCGCCGTGGCAATCTCCAGGAAGAGATGTTCCCACAGAAGTCCTTGGGTCACTGACGCCAGGAGAGGTGTGACGACTTCTGAAAACTTGCATTTTTACAAGCATTTTCGCTGCACGTGCTATAATATCTTCAAAATATATGACCAATGAAAAGTGATTTGATTTTTATTTGATCCTGGATAGGGTTGCAAAAAAAAACTGTAGCTTTCCCAAAATACCCAGCATTGATAAAAATCCCGGTTGGAAAATTCCTGGAAACATGAGGGAATAAACAGGAAAATCCTGCATTTTCTGGAAAACCTGGGAGTTTTGGGTAAGTTACCAGAATTTTCCAACCCTTATCCTGGGTAATTTTCAGTAGGTTTCAAAACCATTCCCATCTCCTGAACAGGACCCTGATGTGAGGCGTTTGATAAATCAACAGTACTGGTCTCCTGGTTACAACCGCAGTGTAGATACAACACACAGACATGGTAGAATGGATAGTGGGGATCAAGCCAGACTCCCTTTCTTTCTCCCTTTCTCAGGAGGCTGTCGTGTTTTTATCTCTCTCTCTCTCTCTCTCTCTCTCTCTCTCTCTCTCTCTCTCTCTTCTCTCTCTATCTACTCTCTCTCTCTCGCTCTCTCTCTCTCGCTCTCTCTCTCTCTCTCTCTCTCTGCTCTCTCTCTCTCTCTCTCTCTCTCTTCTCTCTCTCTCTCTCTCACACACACACAATCCAATAACCTTTTTTTCCCAAAATGCATGAGTGGCTAGAAAACAGAAATTGCCAAGCTATGATTGTTAGTCTTGTGTTTTAGACTTAAGCAATAAGGCCCGAGGGGGTGTGGTATATGGCCAATATACCACAGCTAAGGGCTGTTCTTAAGCATGACGCAACGCGGAGTGCCTGGACACAGCCCTTAGCCGTGGTATATTGTCCATATACCACAAACCCCAGAGGTGCCTTATTGTTATTATAAACTGGTTACCAACGTAATTAGAGCAGTAAAAATAAATGTTTTGTCATACCTGTGGTATACGGTCTGATATACCTCGGCTTTCAGCCAATCAGCATTCAGGGCTGGAACCGCCTAGTTTACAATTGTTATTTACTCACTGTCTGTCATTCTCCTTCTCTTTGTTCCCTCAACAGCACGATGGGAAGCCGTTCTGCCACAAACCATGCTATGCTGCCCTCTTCGGACCAAAAGGTGCAGTACACTTGTACGTCTGTCCAAAGCCCAGTGGTTAAAAGTATCTGAAGAACTTCAAACTGACTTCCTGATAACCTCCAGTTTGATTGTACTGTTTTGAAACACACTGTTGTGTAGTATGCAGATGGGCTGAACCACAGCCATATGTTATGATTGTTAAATGTTTGTAATATGTTATATGAAAAAACATGTATCTTATGGTATCTATATAGATATGGCTCTGGGCTGAACCTAACCTCTGACCTCTGTAGGTGTGAACATCGGAGGAGCAGGGTCCTATGTTTATGAAGCCCCCATCAACAATAGCCCAGCCCCTACTGACGTGGATGCCCCCCCCAAACCTGCTGAGGAGAAGAAGGTGTTCGCACCCAGGCCTCCTGTTAAAGGTACATGCTACGTGTGCGCGTTCTTTCGCGCATGCATGTTTACGTGTCCACTTGTGTAAGTGATGACGTGGGAAAAGCTGTGAAATAGTGGAAGTATCTTCCGAAGGAGCTGACTTTGTTAGAAAGGAGTAGCAGACTGTGTTGTCTTCCTGCTGACTCAAGCCCTACTATACAGGCCCTACTATACAGGCCCTACTATACAGGCCCTACTATACAGGCCCTACTATACAGGCCCTACTATACAGGCCCTACTATACAGGCCCTACTATACAGGCCCTACTAATACAGGCCATACTATACAGGCCCACTATACAGGACCCTACTATACAGACCCTACTATACAGGCCCTACTATACAGACCCTACTATACAGGCCCTACTATACAGACCCTACTATACAGACCTACTATACAGGCCCTACTATACAGACCCTAGACTATACAGGCCCTACTATACAGACCCTACTATACAGGCCCTACTATACAGGCCCTACTATACAGACCCTACTATACAGGCCCTACTATACAGACCCTACTATACAGGCCCTACTATACAGACCCTACTATACAGGCCCTACTATACAGGCCCTACTATACAGGCCCTACTATACAGGCCCTACTATACAGACCCTACTATACAGGCCCTACTATACAGGCCCTACTATACAGGCCCTACTATACAGGCCCTACTATACAGGCCCTACTATACAGACCCTACTATACAGGCCCTACTATACAGACCCTACTATACAGACCCTACTATACAGACCCGGCTCACACCAGGCTAGCACCAGGCTAACACCAGGCTAGCACCAGGCTAACACCAGGCTAGCACCAGGCTAACACCAGGCTAGCACCAGGCTAACACCAGGCTAACAGCCTGACCCTAAAGGAGTAGCAGACCCTTGTTGTCTTCCTGTGATTAGAGCCCTACTATACAGGCCAGGCTCACTCCAGGGGTAAAGGCTAACACCAGGCTAACACCAGGGACGGTCACAGGGTAGTTTCTTTAGCTGTTCACCCTGGGTTTTTGCACAGTTGCAGGCCAGAGGCCATACTACTTTGTGTGTGTGTGCAGCTTCCAGCGTCACCACCTTCTCCGGTGAGGCCAACCTGTGTCCCAGGTGCAACAAGAAGGTCTACTTTGGTAAGTAGCCATTATATTAAGTATCTATCACACTACAAGGGTGAGAATTATCTGTCGTGCAGTTGCCATGGTATCGTGTGCTCCTGTGTGTCATTCCTTTGAATTAAATTTGAAACATATCCGAGGCACCTGCTGGAGCAACCCTGAGATGAATGCATCTCATTTCTAAGCTGTGTGTGTGTGTGTGTGTGTGTGTGTGTGTGTGTGTGTGTGTGGTGTGTGTGTGTGTGTGTGTGTGTGTGTGTGTGTGTGTGTGTGTGGTGTGTGTGTTTGACAGCTGAGAAGGTGACGTCCCTGGGGAAGGACTGGCATCGGCCCTGTCTCCGCTGTGAGAGGTGCAGCAAGACCCTGGCCGCCGGCAGCCATGCAGAGGTAGGAGAGATAGAGGGATGGATGGAAGGAGGGGAGGTGATGGAGGGAAAAGGGATGAGGAGGAGGGTGAAAGAGGAAGGGCATTTAAACAGGAAGGGGCCAGCTATAAAAAGACAATCACAGTGTTCAAGGGAGTCGGCCTGAACAAGGCCCTGATAGCACAGAATCACTGATCTACAAATCATCTTGCATCGTAAATAACTACTCATTATTAATATCAAAATTAGGGAATGTACACAACACCTTGTTCAGGCAGGTCTTCTTGAATGCACCTGAATGGGATAAAAGCATTCTAATGTGGATGTTAACAATGAATACATGGCATGATGACGTTTTCATGTGTGTTTTTTTTTTTTTTTACAGCATGATGGCCAGCCATACTGCCACAAGCCATGCTATGCTTGTCTCTTTGGACCCAAAGGTAGGCGCTTCGCTTGTCTTCTTTATTCAACCACCAGGTGGTGCTGTTGTCTCACATAAGTATTAGCTATACTGTAACAGTAGTCTATGCGGTGTACAATAGCTTTTTAAAGAACCTACTCGTATTGCTCTTCCGACACAAAAGTGATGCAACTTAGGCTGTTTCAAAACCACCAACTGAAAATAAATGTTTAGTTATACTGCGATACATTTTCAGCATGTGACGCTGCCTGGACACCTGTATGTCTGTGGTGTTCTTGTCTCTCCAGGGGTGAACACTGGTGGTGTAGGCAGCTACATCTACGAGAAGGATGTCAGTACAGAGACCCAGCCCTGAGCTGCTGCGGTCTGATTGTCTGTCCCGTCCAGTCCCCAGCCTCCGAGACCAACCTGACCTCTCCAATACTACTACCACAATCCAACACAGTGTTATTATCACTAAGTTGGCCTCTATAGCTCCTTCTATAAGCAGCCCAGAGACCTGAGACCCTGCCACTAGCCTCTATTTCCTCCCCTTTAACCCCTGACCCCAAACCTGTACCATCTGGCTACGCCCACTTCAGCCTCCTAGCACAGCAGCCTTCTAATATAGACTGCCCCCAGGATAAGATTGATGCTTCCAGACACTTCAGAATTAAATTATATTTTATTTACACTTAATTTTGTACAAATTATATTTATTGAAAACAATTTAACCCTGAGTGGGTCCATAGTGAAAACCAAAGCACCACATTACTGAATGTGAATGCCATTCTCTCTCCCCACTAAAACATAAGGGCCAAGAAGCCCATTCTTCACTTTTATGAGCTCATGATCAGATTGTCATGTTTATGTATATTTACGAGTGTGGATATATACGTATTACAACCCCATGTTAACTTTTACTTTAAGAATTGCAATAAAACATATTTTATTTCCCTTTCATTTTAAGTACCCTTAACGGGACAGTTCAGCATACATCCGTTGAGGGGGAGTTTAGAGACCAAGTGAAAAGTTTAAAAATAATCCCTGTCTGTAAACGTAACTCATTTTAGGCTTTCCTCAGAGTAGTGATACATGGCGTTTAAAGGAAGGTGCTGCGTTGTCACGGTAACATGCTGACAGATCCCTACCCCTGGCCTAGCACACCTGGGAGAGAGGGAGTAATCTGTCTGCAGGTGCAGATGGTGCTGATTCAGGACAGGAGCACTACTTCATCCATTCATCTTAACAGCAGGGATTTAAAGACCCAGATGTATACCGTTTTGGACGCCCAACTACATTCCTGATCAAATGGATGATCTAAAAAAAAAAGTCTCTCTGTGGGGTTTAGGTTTCAGAAAGAGTCTGGATGATGTTAAAATATGGTATTTTAGGGTGGTGGGTTTTTGAGGGTAGCCTGGTTCCAGATTCCTGTATTTCCAATGGATACCATAGGAGTATGCTATACAGAACAAACACATCTGGACCCAGGCTATTCTGAGGGTCCTGTTACTGGTTTGGCAGGGTAAATTGTGTATGTACGGTACTGTATGGAGTCCAGGCATGGAAATCCTTTTAAATTGGTTTAATTGACAGCCAAATACACAGGATGTATTTATTGATTGGTTAAGAATAAGAATATACCAGTAAAATTGCATAAGGAAATTGCATTGTACTACGGCTACCCCTATGGGACATATGAAGGAAGGAAAGAAGGTGAGGCAACAGTGACTAAACAAACTCGTAGAATATAGACCATCCAAAAGCTGTACAATTTTATATGGTCGAAGTATTACTGTAGTAAGAAACCCGGACGTATTTCACCCTGAGATTACTATGAGCTGAAGTAATATAGTTGGAGGTATTCTATAGAACCCTGTGTGTCTGAAATGGCACCTTGTTCCCTATTTAGTGGCCTGGTCAAAAGGATTAAACTATACAGGGAATAGGGTGCGATTCTGGACGCACACAGAGTAATAGACACACTGCAGACAAAGCATTCTGTTAGAATGTGCATTAGTATTATATATAGTATGACTGTTTTTGCGATGTTTTGATTATGATGATCAGTTGTGGTCTTTTTTGTGTAGTAGGCCTTTAAAACACTGTTTGTAGAGGAAAAATAAAAAATAAAATGGCTGCACTTCTTCAGTCATGTTGCTTCTGTCTTTTGAATCCATTAATTAAACTTTCTATCTATACTTTTGATATGATCTCCTGTGGTTTGACCTGTGTGTGTGTGTCCCAGGACCCCACTATACACCAAAAGTATGTGGACACCCCTTCAATTTAGTGGATTCGACTATTTCAGCCACACCTGTTGCTGACAGGTGTATAAAATCGAGCACACAGCCATGCAATCTCCATAGACAAACATTGGCAGTAAAATGGCCTTACTGAAGAGCTCAGTGACTATCAACGTGGCACTGCAATAGGATGCCACTTTTCCAACAAGTCAGTTTGTCAGATTTCTGCCCTGCTAAAGCTGCCCCGGTCAACTGTAAGTGCTGTTATTGTGAAGTGGAAACGTCTAGGAGCAACAACGGCACAGCTGCGAAGTGGTAGGTCACACAAACTCAGAACGGGACCCCCGAGTGCTGAAGCGCGTAGCGCGTAAAAATCGTCTGTCCTCGGTTGCAACACTCACTACCGAGTTCCAAACTGCCTCTGGAAGCAATGTCAGCACAATAACTGTTCGTAGGGAGCTTCATGAAATGGGTTTCCATGGCCGAGCAGCCGCACACAAGCCTAAGATCACCATGCGCAATGCAAAGCGTCGGCTGGAGTGGTGTAAAGCTCGCCGCCATTGGACTCTGGAGCAGTGGAAACGTGTTCTCTGGAGTGATGAATCTCGCTTCACCATCTGGCAGTCCGAGGGACGAATTTGGGTTAGTATGGATTCCAAGAGAACGCTACCTGCCCCAATGCATAGGGCCAACTGTAAAGTTTGGTGGAGGAGGAATAATGGTCTGGGGCTGTTTTTCATGGTTTGGGCTAGGCCCCTTCGTTCCAGTGAAGGGAAATCTTAACGCCACAGCATACAATCACATTCTAGATGATTCTTTGATTCCAACTTCGTGGCAACAGTTGGGGGAAGGCCCTTTCCTGTTTCAGCATGACAATGCCCCCGTGCGCAAAGCGATGTCCATACAGAAATAGTTTGACAAGATCGGTGTGGAAGAACTTGACTGGCCTGTACAGAGCCCTGACCTCGACCCCATCTAACACCTTTGGGATGAAATGGAACGCCGACTGCGAGCCAGGCCTAATCGGCCAACATCGGTGCCCGAACTCACTAATGCTCTTGTGGCTGAATGGAAGCAAGTCCCAAAAGCAATGTTCCAACATTTAGTGGAAAGCCTTCCCAGAAGAGTGGAGGCTGTTGTAGCAGCAAAGTGGGGACCAACTCCATATTAATGCCCATGATTTTGTAATGAGATGTTCGACAAGCAGTACTGTATATACATTTATGGCTGTGGTTTGTCCCAGGCTGACCTCATGTAATACCCATGTGGTTTCTCCTACAGTACATTAACCTCTTACAATACACACATCATGGGATTGGTTTTCCTTCTACTGTAATCATGACATCATCTGGCATTTGTTTTTAACCTAATAGGGCTGTGTCAAGTACTTAAAGGCTATAAAGGCTTAAGAACACACAAATGGGTATTTATTTAGAAACGGTATTAACTTATTAATAGTTGTTTGCTTGCCTGTGTCATGCCCACACCCAGTGTAACCCAGAGTCATAAATATGACTGGTGTAACCCATACAGTCAATACAACAGACCATGTAGCTCACATCACAATAATGACCTTGGCCCAACCCCACCCTGTAGTCTGCTGAGCTCAACCCATCCTAACCCTATTCACAGCTAGGCCAATCCTGCCTCTTTATTCACAATACACACCATTATGAATGCCTTGTGGGCAGTTTGTTGGGTGGTTGTCACAATACACACAAACACAACCTATTCACTGCTCCATTACCCCAGGAATCAGCTTCTGTCTGTCAACAAAATAAAGATACACTGAGTGGACAAAACATTATTGCTCTTTCCATGACATAGACTGACCAGGTGAAAGCTATGATCCCTTATTGATGTCACCTGTTAAATCCACTTCAATCAGTGTAGATGAAGGGGAGGAGACAGGTTAAAGAAGGATTTTTTAAGCCTTGAAACAATTGAGACATGGATTGTGTATGTGTGCCATTCAGAGAGTGAATGGGCAAGACAAAAGATTTAAGTGCCTTTGAACGGGGTATGGTAGTAGGTGCCAGGCTCACCGGTTTGTGTCAAGAACTGCAATGCTGCTTGGTTTTTCACGCTCAACAGTTTCCCATTTGTATCAAGAATGGTCCACCACCCAATGGACATCCAGCCAACGTGACCCAACTGTGGGAAGCACTGGAGTCAACATGGGCCAGCATCCCTGTGGAACGCTTTCAACACCTTGTAGAGTCCATGCCCCGACGAATTGAAGCTGTTCTGAGGGCAAAAGGAGGGGTGCAACTCAATATTAGGAAGGTGTTCCAAATGTTTTGTACACACAGTGTGTATCCCTCACCCTGTGTAGACTCAAAAATAACGACGTGTTTCATATGACCGTGTTATGTGTTATTGTGTGTAAGGTTTACTGACTTAGAATGCTGGGCTGGTTCTGATGATTTACAGCCCTAATGTTTTTAGTTATAAATTAATACTAATACCCCATTTTCAAGCCTAGACACACAAACACACAGAACAACAGGATATTCCCAGACATGAAGTCAGAGCCAGGCCCAAGCCGAGCTCTCTCTGTGTGAGGGCAGGGGACTCCCCTCAGCTCCCAAGGGCAAGGGAGGTCTGTCTGTCCGCACTGAGGTGTACACTAGGTGAGGTTTGCGCTCTGGTCCAGAACAAGCCTATTGAATCCACCACAGGGCAGGGTTTCTGTCTGAGTAGTTACATTCCTACTTTACAACATAATGATATTAACTACAGAATATAGAGGGATGTAAATGTGTTTAAATATCATGTTATTTTGCTAGTGCAGGGTTTAATTGCTCATTAATGAGGAGGTCCTCATTAAAACCTACAGGAGCCTGACTGGGTTCAAATACTATCCGTTTTCTTTCCAAAATGCTTTGAACATTTGATTGAGGTGCCTGGAATGGCAGATGGGTGAAGTTTGCACTTTTGGGACTATTCTGCTGGCAATTTTTTTGCAAAAGCTTTTTTTTCAATCAAGCGCAGCTAAACCATGTTGAAGGAAACTTCTCCTATTTGACCCCAGGTCTGGAGTGTAGCTTGTATAGCTTGTGTCAGCCAGGCTATAGACTGGTGAAGACAGGAAGTCTTACAGCCAACCAGGCTCATCATCATGCTG